TGACATGTAGATACAATATAGAATATGAATAGACTTTGAGCTTACACTCAACTGTAGCCCTGATCTAAGAACAATGAGCTCTTATGACATGGTGCTGCTCCACACTTAACCTCATGAAGAGATTACTCAAGAGGCGGGTGCAATAGCACAGTGCTGTGAATAAAACAGACTGTGCCTATTAGATAGAATAGCATCTGAAGTCTAGGTTTTTAAATTGTTGAAGTACAGTTCTTCATAGTATTGTATATCATTTTTATTTCCCCTGGTGCTGCTCTGACACTTATTTCATTTCTTGTTTGTGTTATTTGCATCTTCTCTTCCTTTCTTAGATTTGCCAATGATTTTTTCAATTTTGTTAATTCTTCCAAAGAACCAAATTATGGTCTTGTTTTTCTGTTTGACTTATTTCGGCTCTAACCTTTATTATTGTTCTCTTCTGTTGGCCGTTGGCTTCCTCTGATGCTCTTTTCTAATTATGTTAGGATGTCAGGTGAAAGTGTTGATTTGGGTTTTTCCTTTTTGATGTGTGTGCTTATTGTTCTAAATAGCCCATTAAGCACAACTTTTGCTGCATCTCAAAGGTTTTGGTCCGTAACATTTTCATTCTTGTTTGATTCAAGGAATTTAAGGTTTAAAATTTTTATTTACTCTATTACCAAGTAGTTTTTTAAAAATCATTCTAGGGGGCCCATACAACTCTTATCACAATCCATACATACATAAATTGTATAAAGCACATTTGTACATTCATTACCCTCATCATTCTCAAAACATTTGCTCTCCACGTACGCCCCTTTAATCAGCTCCTAATTTTTCCCCCTCCCTCCCTGCTCTCCCTTCCCTCAGGAACACTAGACAATTTATAAATTCCCTCACCCGCTGCTCTGTTGTCCGTCCCCGAGGGAGGAGGTTATATGTAGATCCCTGTAATTGGTTCCCCCTTTCTACCCCATCCTCCCACCACCCTCCCGGTATTGCCACTCTCACCACTGGTCCTAAAGGGATCATCTGTCCTGGATTCCCTGTGTTTTCCATTTCCTATCTGTACCAGTGTACACCCTCTGGTCTAGCTAGATTTGTAAGGTAGAATTGGGATCATGATAGTGGGGGTGGGGGAGGAGGAAGCATTTAGGAAGTAGAGAAAAGTTGTATGTTTCATCGGTGCTACACTGCACCCTGACTGGCTCATCTCCTCCCTGAGGCCCTTCTGTAAGGGAATGTCCAGTTGCCTACAGAAGGGCTTTGGATCCCCACGCTGCACTCCCCCTCATCCACAATGATATGATTTTTTTGTTCTTTGATGCCTGATAACTGATCCCTTCAACACCTCATGATCACACAGGCTGGTGTGCTTCTTCCAGGTGGGCTTGTTGCTTCTGAGCTAGATGGCCGCTTGTTTACCTTCAAGCCTTTAAGACCCCAGACGCTATATCTTTTGATAGCTCGACACGATCAGCTTTCTTCACCACATTTGCTTATGCATACCAAGTTGTTCTTAAGCAAAGTATTATTCAATTTCTATGCATATTTTCCCTTTGATCTTCTACTTGTTTTCTAATTTTACAGTGTTGTGATCTGAGAAGATGCTTTATAATATTCTTTAATTTATTGAGGTTGTGTTGCGGCCTACCCTCATGCCCATTCTGGAGAATGCTTCATGTGCACTGGAGAGGAATGTGTAATATGCTACTGTTCTATGGAGAGTTTGGCATATTTCTCTCAAGTCAAACTAGTTTGTGTTGTTTAGTTCTTGTGCGTCTTTGCTCATTTCTTTCCAGGTGTTCTATCCTTCATTGAACGCGGTGTGTTGAAGTCTCCATCAGGTTAACTGTTGGACTGATAGCTGCAAGGTCAGTGGGTCGAACCCACCAGCCACTCAATGGGAGAAGGATGAGCTATCTGAGGCCAGTGAAGAGTCCCGACCTTGGTAGCCTGTATAGGGCTGCTACGCAGGAACTGTACTGACTTGCTAGCAGGGGGTTGGTGCGGTACGGTCGCTCTGAGTGTGGTGCTGTTTTAGAAGGCACTCAATCTCCGAGAGTTTCCTTTTTTATTTTGATGAGGCGTGTTCATTTTCTTTGCAGCAAAACTGTAATCAATCTATTAGTTTCTTCTCAAATTTAAAAGTTTGTTCTAAACATTTCCTTGACTTTATCTCCACTTGAAAGTTCTGTAACTTGCCTATTCCCCTATTAACAGTGTAACTGTCTTCTTCACAAAGTGCTATCCGCTTCCCTGCTTCCTGTGTTACGTCGGATGCTCCTCTCTCTGGGCTGTCCTCAGGGGGCACTGTCAGCTGTCTTCATCGCAGGCTGTTGACTGTGGATGATTTTCTGTCCGAAGATCTCACCTTAGCACTTTTTGTAAGATTGATCAGGTTTAACACATTCTTTTACATTTTGTTCATCTAGAAATGTCCTCACGTCACTATCATATTTGCTGGGCATACGATGCTTGGTGTGTGAGGTGTTCGGTTTTGTTTCTCAGAGTTTTGCATGTCACCCCCTGCTTGCCTGCCTGCATGAGTTCTGTTGAGAAATGTATTTCCTGAGTCCTGTTTGCAGGTAACTGTTTGCTGTTCCTGAGCTGCTGTCAGGATTCCTTCTCTGTCTTCAGTTTTGGAAAGTTAGTTTATAATATGTTATGGCGATTTTCTTTTGGGGTCTATCTTGTTTGGGGTTTGTTCAGCATATCATCTCTCCTTTTATGATCTTGGGGAATTTCCTTTCATCAGTACTTTGATAATTTTCTTTGGGATTTTTGCTTTTTTATTGCTCTGGAATTTCAATCATATGGAAGTAATTCTTCTTGGTAGAATAACATAATTTTTAGGCTTCCTTGTTTTGTTTGTTGTTGTTTTGCTTTGGTTTTGCTCTGGCAGATTGTCTCAGCTCACTGCCATCAAATCAAGTGTGACTGGAAATATCTGTCTTTAAGCTCATGAATTCATCCTTTCATTAGTTCCATTCTACTCTTTTTGTCATTCTTTCTTTTAAAAAAATTATAAATAAATCACTTTATTGGGGGCTCTTACACCTCTCATAACAATCCATACATCCATTGTATCAAGCACTTTTGTACATATACTGCCATCATTTTCAAAATATTTTCTTTCTGCTTAAGCCATTGGTATCAGCTCCTCTCTTGTTCCCTCCCTTCCCGAACGTCCCACCCTCATGAACCCCTGATACATTATAAATTATTATTTCCATATCTTACACGTCCTGCTCTCTCCCTTCCTCCATGTTACTTTTGTTTGTCCCCCTGGGGGACTGGGTGTGTGTGTTATACGTCATTATAGTCAGTTCCTCATTTGTCGTTTTGTCTTTCAATGCATTATCTATTTCTGAATTCTTAGTATTAATATTCTGAATTTTAATTGCTGTTTATTATAAGCTTTCTAATTTTTAATTTGTTGGGGTTTTTTTCTTGTATTTTCTGAATTTTTCTAAAGATTTTTCTGTATTTTCCTTCATTTTGTCTTTAGCTTTTTTGATCTTTCTCTCAATATATTGAAAGAGACTAAACGCCCATCTGTAGAATTCCTTATCAGGGAGATTTAGTGTTTTTTATCCTTGAGAAAGGCTGTTTGTCTCTGTCTACTGATCACTTGCTTTCGCTACTCTGTCTTGTTTCTTCATGTGCACCGAATCTGCCTGTTGCCTCTGAGACAATGTGGTGCTATATTTGTACTTAATTGATGAGTTTATACTGGTGAGACCTTAGCCACTCACATCCTGTCTGTGAGTGTGGGCACAGGTGTCTGAGATTCCAACAGCCCAGTTAGGCTGGCATTGTTGGATACCTATCAACACGCAGGTGGCTTAGGAGGGGAGAGTGGGACACTGGTCCTGGTGGAGCTTATTCCAGCCTCCATGTTGTCTCGTGCCAGTTCAGATAGTGGCTGAGGTCAGCGTGCTTGTTCCTTAAAGGAATCGTTTTGGATGCAGAAGAAAATGGGGTCCCAGTAACAGACCTGAGCCCAACCTGCAGCCCAGCCCAGCTTACTTTCCATCTGAAAACAAACCAACGACCAAAAAAAGCCACCCTTGCCAGCATGCAGACTTTGTTTCTTTATCGTCGTAGTCGCTGTTGCATTGGGAGCTGTCCACGACAAGCGGGGAAGGCTAATGGTCTCAGTGAGACGTTGCTAGAAAGAACGGAAGGGTCTGGCCATCCCACGGGCTGCTCAGAGCAGCAATCCAGTGTTTGTCACGCACACACCTCTTCTCCTCCATCGCTGCAGCAGGCCCTCAGAATTTCCTACCTGGTTCCCATGTTCTCTGCCTCTGTCTCAGGGACAGCATGTGTGGGACACATGCTACCTCGATCTGGATTTATCCAGATGCTCGTGTTGACCTATTTCCTCTCTCTACACTAACTCCCTAAGGTGCTCTGCCTTTGTCCTGCTCATTTCTGTAGCCCCTGTAACGGTTAGTAGAGTATGGGTCATCTCATTGACTAAATGCATATGAATCATTACATTGAAGAGAATAAAGGGGCCCACCCCACTGATGCCAGAGTGGTTATGAGTTCAGTTACTAACCACAAGGTCAGCAGTTTGAAACCACCAGCTGTCCTGAGGAAGAAAGAGGAGGTTATCCATGCCGGTCAACGGTTACAGCCTCTGTCACCCACAGAGGCAATTCTACCCTGTCCTCAAGGGGCACGATGAGTCAAAATCGACTCCGTTGGTTTTGTTTTTGTTGAGTCCCATTGAGGATGACTCACAGCCCTGGATGATGAACTCACAACCAGGACTGAACCACTGGACCACAGGGCTGGTCCTCTTTGGGCTGCAGCCTCCTGCACCTTGAGGAGACTTCAGTGGACTAGGGCCTACACAGCCCAGAGCTGCACTTAACAAAGGCCCTGCAGGGGGAAGACTGCAGAGAAAACCCACTCCCTTCAACCAACAGACATCATGAAGCCCATGCCGAGTGCTGGTTCTGTTCCAGGAGCTGATAACGGAAAGGTCTTAGGATGGGAAGCACACCTACCTGAGAACTGGGTGGGGCCACCAAGTTGATTCCCGGAGGGGCTGCCAGAGCTCCTGAGGGGGGGCCCATGGCAGATGTGATGACTCTGTAAGGAGAACCCAGAGCATTGAGGGGGGGCCCCACTGCACTCAGAGTCCGTGGAGCACTCACAGGGGTGTCAGTGTAGCCGGGGTGGCTGTCCATTGGCTTCCCTGCAGACAAGACTGCCGACGGGCTCATGGAAGTAGAGCCACTGTGGCTGGGGGGGCCTGTGAGAAGAGAATGGTGAAGGTAATAGGAGGTCAGAAGGGCACAAAGGTAGAGTCCCACCCCCTACCCTCATCTTTGTTTTGTACATTTCTCTCTTCCCTCCTGTCACACCTGCACACCGTGAATTCTAGGTAGACGCGCTTAGCTGGTGGAATTCAGGCAAGCAGAGGACAGAGAGGAGTGGCTCTAGGCCAGGCTTGCACATTGATATTCTAGTTCTCTGGAGCCCACCTGGGCTATGCCAGATGCACAGCCCACAGGTCCCTGGGCCAGGCTTACTGGGAAGGAGAGCCAACACCCCCATCCAGAAGGTGAAATGAGTAGGTCCCTCGGCTGCTCTAGAACTCCCCACCTCAAGCTCCTATTGTTTGGAGAACTGAAGCAGAGCTGAGCTTGCAAGTCACAAAAGCTCATTCACTCTAAACACACACCCCTAATGCGGGCCCACTATGTGCCAGTCATTATGCCCATCCCTAGGGATTCAGACCGGAAGAAACCAGAGTTCTTGCCATTGGAAGTCGTGTTTGGAAATGGTGAGGAGGAACATAGAAGCTGTCCTCAAGCCTCAACTCCCTGTGTTGTTGGCAGCCTTGTACCCATTGGATTCCCATCCTGCTTAATCAGTGCTCTGGGAAGAGGATTCTGGGAAGGCTGGCCATGGCTTTATGACTATGGTGGCACAGAAATTGCAGGAATTCAAGTGCAGGCTGGTCCACACAGACCTTCTCTGCATCTGGGGGTGGAGAGCTGCAGCCACAGGGGAAGGGATTCTGGGAGGGTGTACATTGACAGCACTGCCTGTTCATCTGGCAGCACTTTCGGAGATAAGGTGAGGTCTGAGCTCCCTCCAGTCAGCTGTTTCATCTTTCAAGATGAAAGAGGGGGGTACCCTGAATCTCATGAGCTCAGCATACAACATTCTAGCCAGGAAAAAAAAAATATATATATATATACAGTGAACCCTCGTTTATCGTGGTTAATCGGTTCTAGACCCTACCGTGATAAATGAAATTCTGCAAAGTAGGATTCCTTATTTGTAAATCAAATATTTTCGTAGTTAGAGCATAGAGGACATGAAAAAACACCCTTTAGTCACCATTACACTCGTATTACCCAATTTATTAAACGAAAAAGGGAAAATACAGTAAAACATTTTGGACGTTACAATTATCATTTATTATTTATTATATTATTTATGGCATCTAGTTTACAGTATGCAGAAGAGGATTCTGGTTGAGGTTTGTCTGCTGTAAAACGCTGATAGAGCTGCCTTGCCTTCTCCCGGATGACTATCGAATCCAACGGAATGTTTTTCTTGCGCCTGTCATTGATCCAAACGGCTAGGACAGACTCCGTTTTTACTATGAACTTATTACGACTTGTCACAATGCGCTTTGCTTCCTTGTTGAAAGTGAAAGTAGCCGTAGCACGGATGTTTTTTTCCTCTTTACAGATGGAGCGAACGGAAGACTCATTCAAGTCGAAATGGCGTGCAACCTCCACGATTTTCTTGCCATCTTTGATCATATCCAAAAGTTTTACCTTTTCCTGGATGGTGAGCATCTTCCTCTGGCGCTTATTTTTATTGTCAGAAGGCTTAGAAGAAGCAGCTCGTTTAGGAGCCATCATAGGGCTTAGATAAAATTTCTTAAAAATCGCGAACAATTACAGTACACTGTACAAAAGCAAAAATGCATCTGATACGTAGCTCCGATACATAGCAATGCAGACAGAAGCGTGTATAGCATGAGCCAATCAGTGGCAGTAATGACAGAGCATGCGCTGTTACACAAAAACCGCGATAGAGTGAAGCCGCGGAAGTCGAAGCGCGAAGTGGCGAGGGTTCACTATATATATATAGATATATAGATACATAGATATATAGATACATAGATATATAGATATATATATTCTCAGAATCTGCAGCAGCAAAGTAGAGACCAGAAAACACAACGAAGCAAGCCCATCCTAAATCATGGTGCTGGTTCCCTGGGAGCTGGCACGCAAGCAGAGACCCGAAGAACCCTGGTGTTTCTCCTGGCTAGAATGCGAGGAGATTACACAGTCAGCCAGTCAACATCCATGGAAGCAGCATTCAAGAAATTAAACGGGAAATCTGCAGCAAAAACCTTTTTCAAAGTTGTTTGTTGTTGTTGTTGTTGTTGTTGTTTTAAAGCCAAGAGGTGATTTTGAGGAATCAGCTGTGTCCGAACCAAGCCCTGGTCATTCCCCAGCACCAGTTTGCATCGTGGAGCATGAGAAGGGAAGACCGAAGAAGGGACGCACTCAGCTTGTGGTGCTGACAAGGAATATTGCCTGGACCGTGGATTGTGACAAGAATGGACAAATTCTAGGGCGGGGTGGGGGTGGGGGTGGGGGGAATACAACCGGAAAGTTCCTGGGGTGAGAGGATGGCGAGGCTTTAGCAGCCCAGGCAACGCACTCAATGACCAGGAAGATGGCCCAGGACTGGCAAGGCTGTGTTCTGTTGTGCACGAGGCCCGACAGGTTGCCAGGACCTGACCACAAGCCTGGCATGATGGAGAAGCGGCCGTTCTCAAGGCTTATGGTGCATCAGATACCGAGCAGGAGGACATGACGGTGACCAGTGAACTTAGGGGCCTGCCCTGAAGCAGTTCACTGCTCATTCAGCAAACATCCCTTGAGTGACTGTCACCCTGCAGGACACGGCCCTGGACCTTGGGCCTGGACCTTGGGAGACAGCAGTGGGCAGTGTCGGGTGAGGAGTCGGATGTGCGGAACTCTTCTTAAATATAAATAGCCCACTGATGTGACAAGGCCAACTGCTCACCTGGAGGTTGTCACAAGGCTACTACGGCTCGAGCCGTTAAGGTCTACTTGTGGAGAGAACAGGCACACATGCCAACCCCCCCTCCCCTCCAAGAAATCCATGGCCACCTCTTCACCCTCCCTCTGGCATTTGAGGTCGCTGGGGGGTGGATGCCTGTCAGACAGATCACGAGGCACTGTGTTGTACGCACCACAGCTGAGGACGAACCAGATGGGCAGAGTGGTTCTGGTGAGCAGGCCGGCCATTTGGGCGTGTGTGCTGGGCAGCACCCTGCAGTTTCCATACGTGACTTCAGCTAATCCTGACATGACCCTGCCAGTTTTTTCCAGATGAGAAACCATAGGCGGAATCTCCCCAGTATACTGCTCCAGTTCCAGGATCTTCCTCCACTGTGTACGAAGTTCTTGCTCGTCCTTCAAGGCCTAGCTCCCAGTGTTAGGTCCCCCAGGAAGCCATCCCTGGAGACCGGGCCCTGGACCACTTCTCTCTCTTGTTTTCCAGCAACAGCACGTGTGCTTCCTGAATGTCAACACTTAGGATACTGTGCGGTCCTATTTGTTAACTTCTCTGCCTTCTCCACCCAACTGGGGCGGAAAGGAGTGTCCATTTCTGGTGTCCACAGGCAGCTCATGCAGCATCGGTTAAATTCGTGCGTGAACACACTGCCTGGTGGGGGAGCGGCAGAGCCCAGATTCAGACTGTCAAACCGCAGCCCACGCGCTCCCCTGTGCGCGCTGACAAGGATGGAAGACTTCTATATGGAGCGCCTGCTGCACCACAAAGATGACTCAATTACACACAAAGTGACATAAAGGGAAAGTTCATTTGAGGGAGAAAGGAGAAGGTCGCGTCCAAGAACTCAAGCCTTGAAAACCAAATGTCTTCTCAGGCGGCACTGATTGGAAAGAACAATTTTCGACTTTTTGGAAGTCCTGGAAGGCTGTGACATTTAAAGAGGCCAATGTATACCTCGAGTCTCTGACTAAGATAAGATGTGACAGGTGAGTTAGTGGCCAGCCTTGGCGGGTGGGGAGTCATGAGCCCCTCTGGGACAGCAGCCTTCTTCTTCCGACAGTCACGGGAAGGAAATCAATTTCCCCCTCCTGCTTTGCAGACCAGAGGGCTCGGCAACTGTCCTTTAAATCCTGCTCTGAATAGGCCTCACACAAACACAGCCTTTCTTTCTGTATCTCTGGCCAGGTCTCATGTGCTGGGATGGAGAGCAGGGAACCAGAGACTGCTTCATCACCCTAAAAGCCTCCCAGATGTGGAAGCTGGACCCTTGGAAGTAAGGGCAATTTTAGGTGATGTTTTAATAGATAGGGGAGCTTTGAAGAGAATGATAATAGTTTTATATTTGTGTGTTTTTCTTAAATCACTTTATTGGGGGCTCATACAACTCTTATCACAATCCATCCATCCATCCAATGTGTCAAGCACTTTGTACATTTGTTGCCAAGGAGTTCTGGTGGTGATGTTGAGTAACGGTTGGTCCACTAACTACAAGGTTGGTGGATCAAACCTGCCCCATGGAAGAAAGTCGAGGCTGTGTGCATCCGAAAAGCTTTACAGTGGCGGCAACCCCATGTGGGGTTGTTATGAGTTGGCATGGAGTGGAGGGCTGTGGTTGTGGTTTTGTTTTTAATGTTTATAACAATTCACTGGGCTCCTACTTTCTTTCGTCAAAAAGTATCCTTCTAAATATAGCTCTGTGAACTTTTGTTTTTAAGAGTATTTGTTTTAGGAAATGTGTATGTGCAGAGGATATGCAAGATCATGAAAATAATTTGCAAATGAATGATGTCTAAGGAACCCTGCACACACACACACACACACACACACACACACACACACACACACGCCAATGTGGATTTGAGGAAGTCTCAAGTGCTTCCAAGTATCAAATGATTCACTTGGTGTGAAAGTGGTTTTACATTTCAAACGTAGTCTTCTTATCTACCTAAGGTGACCAGATTTTAACATTGGTAAAGCGGGACACCATTGACCGGCGGGGGCTGGGGGTTCTTGATTAAAAATTTGGTCTATATGGAGCAACAAAAATTTTCATAGAATGCAAAAATAATATTGTAATATTCTTTTAAATTTTAACATAAGTACAATTTGCAAATATAGTACATTAAAAATTATGTATAGTATTATTTTATTCTTTGGCATATTTCTCATTTG